ATAAGGGGGAAATAAACTAAGGGATTGTGAATAACTATTTAGAACATAAAAAAAATATCTATTTCAACGCCCACCCCAGTTGTGGTGATAGTCAATATAACCCTGAATCAAAAAAACGGATGGTATTGACTCGCGACTAGTCTCAATCAGACGTCAAAATTGAATTAAAATAAAATGTATGTTTCGGTCGCAGAGAAAAATTTATTAACTTGGCTATTTACTCGGTAATTAACTGTTTAACTGTGGTATCGGGAATTAAACTAAAATGTAGGTATTTTACTAAACGGCCAAAGAGAGTGCAAGGAGACAGGGACGCGAAAAAATTACTTATAGTAAATATACGGAAAGAAGATAAAAATAAATTTACACCCGGGTAGCCTATTATCCCAGAATGAGCTGATCGTCATCACGAGCCCGCTCAGACAGGGTAATGAAGCTATTTTTGATTTCTGCAAGTTGCAGTTTGCACGAAAAAAATGAAGAATATAAAGGGGAAAATAAAACTAACGCGGATAGCACCTAGTCCAAGAATGAACTGATCGTCATCATGAGCCCGTTCAGACAGGGACAGGATACTATTTAAAGTTATTTAAATAGACGGTAAAAGAAAAAAAAAATAAACTATTATCGGAGGGAAAAAAATTACTAACGCGGATAGTACCTACTCCAAGGGTGAACTGATCGTTATCACGAGCCCGTTTAAACAGGACAGGATACTATTTACGATTATTCAAATATACGGTAAAAGAATAAACAAACTATTAAAAGAGGGAAAATGTCTCCTCGAAAACTATGTTTACAAATATTCCCAACTTAATTACAACGCGGCACTTACTAAACAAAAGTATTTATCAGTAAAATTAAATTTAATTCCCGATTTAACCTATCAAAAGAAAAAAAAATAATTTCTTAATACAGACTAACGATCAAAAGTCTAAAATCCCCGGTTTTACAATATTACAGAATTAAATCCTATCATTTATTATTTAATTCAAATTCTATCCCTTTTTAAAGAAACGGTATTATATTTGTCAAGAAATAAATTTAAATATTTATTAATGAAATCAAATTAAATCTTTTAACTAATCACTATCTATAAAAAAAAACGGTAATATTTTTACCAAGAAACAAATTCTAATATTTATTATTTAAATCAAATTAAATCTTTTAACTCAATACTATCTATAAAAAAAAAGAAACGGTATTATTTGCCAAGAAACAAATTCTATTATTTATTAATGAGAATTAAATCTTTTAACTAAACACTATCTGAAAATGTTCCTATTCCTACAAGCTAATTCGGTTTTTAAAATGAAATACGGACTCAATATCAAACGTAAAAAGCGGAACAAGGTTTTTTACCTAACGGATTTGTAAATACACGAAAAAGGAAAAAATAACGGCAGTGATTTGATTTCTAGTGCGGCTTATTAGACTCGACTGCTGGCAACAAAAAATTATATCGAACTAATAATTTAAATAGCATCTCGGGTCTCGTTCAACAACTGTATATTCCTTTTCCCATTAGAGACCCCACCTACGCTCATACCCATCGCGCAGCGAGATCTCGAGCGGCGTTCGCGCATCGGTAGATTAGCAGTTCAATCACGTTTAATATTTATTAACAATGAAAAATGAAAATAAACTGATTGAGGAAAATTGACTTCATTACATCCGCGTTTAATATTTATTAAAAATGAAAAATGATAATAAATTGATTGAGGAAAATTGACTTCATTACACGCTTGTACGCTCAACGCCACAGTACGAAAATGTCCCGTTTTTGACAAAAATGTCACTCTTTTTATGCAAATGCTACGCATTTTAATATTCAAAGTCGTAAACAAAAAGTAGGAACTGGATTGATATAAATATAAGGTGATGACATTCTTTTTGTAAAGGACCCTCGTTTACGAAAAATACAAGTTGTGGACCTTTTTTTTATTTTTATTTATTTTTTTTTTTTTAGAAATTTCACAAATAATGAATGGACCTGTTTATATAAAAATGCTTGGTATTTGAACCTGATGCTCTGTCGTCACGGTTGCCATGCTTTTCACTTTCCTAAATCTGGCAACCCTAAGCATGGTGCATTTAAAACATAATTATGTAAACCGTCTGCCCATTCACGTTGAGCGACATCATGAGTGTTGAACCATGCTTCATCTAAATAAACTATATTTCTAGTGCTTTTTCTAAATTTAAACATTTCCTTTAAATAAATATGACGTAATTCCACAATTCATTGCGATTTCATAATGCACATTCGACTATTTAACTGTTTATATCTTACACCATTAGTTATTAAAATTTGTCGAAGTGATTCTAATGATTTATATTTGAAATCTTCAAAATCTTGTAATTACGTAAAAAGAATCTCTAAGGTTGGGACTTGGTTTTAATTATACGTGTTGTAAACCGTTCGTCGAATTACATCTTTAGATGCATCATCTATCCGACGGCTTACGACACGTTTTCTTTTTTCACTTCACAGCGCTTGCAACTCCCGGTACAAACGTCTGTGTTGAATTGAGTCTGGAAAGACAATACCTACCTTAGTTTTCTCCAAAAACAACATGATAACTTTTGATGTAGTATGTTAAATTAAACTTTCGTAAAAATCGTGGACTAGGATTGATCGAAAAATTGAAAGGTTTATCGGCTGATAAGTTCACATTTTCATAACAAATAACTTTAGATTTAAATACTAATATCTACTAAATATTTTTATTGCTATTTCACATAGTCATGATGGGTACAACCTACTTTTATAATCTAATTACTACAATGCATTAGCTTACCGTCCATGGACCGTGATTGTGTGACAGCCATTTAGATAGAATATAGAGGAGATGCTATGACGATGTTAAAGTGTCCGCACTATTGCATTACACTTTTACGTCATTGTTAAACTGAAGCTAGGGAGCAAGTCAGTTTTGGTGAAAATAAATGTCATTTTTAATAAATAGCTTCATTAAAATGATATAAAATTGTTTTTGTACGTTCCCGCAAGTAGGAACAGTTGATAGCCTAAACAGTAGGCAGATAAAAATAGACTGTCTTTCAAAATTGTTCTATTAAATAATAGTTAACAAGTATTAAAAATTAAAAATTTAAAAAAACCTACTTCAAAAACGTGCAGATTCCATCACCACATCCTAACCAAATTTATATGGGACCACCTCTGAGGTATCCCCTTACTAACAAAAAAAGAATCATATAAATCGGACAAGGTGGTAAAGCTTTATCGCTAAACATACATTAAAAATAAAGAGTTTGAGGATTTTCTCATGGACCCAATTATTAGATTTTAACCAAATTTACATGGGACGACCCCTGAAGAAGCCACTTTCTAACAAAAAAAGAATTATTGAAATCGGACACCGTGTTAAAGAAATATCGCTGAACATACATAAAAAAAATATATCGCGACGAATTGGTAACCTCCTCCTTTTTTGAAGTCGGTTAAAAAAATGAATAAAAAAGAATAAAACGGTTAAGAAAAAACGATTAAAACCAAATCACATACCCAAACTACATCTAGGGGTGACGTGAGAGCTCTCCTTAATTCCGATAACCAAGGGATGATCCAGGCTTTTTTCCTACCACAGGTTTTTATTCTTTTTTTACTGATAAGAACGTTTTGCAGCAAAAATTTAAAGTTTACCGGTTTTCGATACGGTTTATTTCGTACTGACCTTTTCAAAGGTCTTTTCATGGTACGAATCTACAATCGTGACTCGGTCTCAAAATACGCGTAAATATTTGAATCAAAGACATTACAAAATGTCTTTGATTTGAATCTACTAATAGGCAACTCAAATTACACGTGACTAGATGAATTATTTAATAAATTACCCCTCGAAATAACAAATAAAAATTTGAAATGATTAGGATTCAACAGTTTTCATCCCGTCAGTCTTCAAATATAAAATTAGTGACTTAAAATAAATCGAAATACTACTCAAATCGCCATTTTCATTACACTTTTCCCTCACTCGAAACGTCTGTCATATCGCAAAATAGTGTTTCTCCACTTTATTCTATCTCGATGGTTCTCAGACGGTAGAAATTCTACAATACCAAGCTTCACGCCGCGCCGGTTTGTATAATCAACTTCCTAAATTTTGATTTGAAAGGTGCCTATTTTAGGTGCATGCATTTTTTATATGTTTAGGTTGACACAACAGTTTTTAGGTCGCTATGGTAATATATTACTTATTTGGAAACCAACTTTGTTGTGAAGCCATAACTATCACGTTTAAGTTTGACTCTACTCTAGATTTACAGTATTATAATTCGTCGCTTCAGAGCAGAAGTATCTTGACTACAAAAATTAAATGCTACAGCTGAGAGTTCTTTTTTTTACTTGACAATATCGTTATACAAATAAAATTATTGACATTAATGGTAAAGCCTTTTAATTACAGTTTAGTTAAAAAAATGTATTTTGGATACTTTAATAATTTATATTTATATAGTTTGTGTAATATGTGACGTGTGACTTAGGATAGTTCTGCAATAGATAAAGTACATAGGGTAGTTCTGAGTGTGATTCGATTCGATACCAGGTACTTTTGTTTCGATTCCAAGTAAGTATCGCAAGATTGATTCGATGCTAAAAGTACTTGGTATCGAAACAAAAGAATCGAGTACTTACTTGTATTTACTTGTATCGGAATATCCCTAACTATCTTATCTCTATGAGCGGTCGGACTATTTTGTAGTAGTCATTATTGCAAAACAAACCTACCTCCGATTAAACTTTCACTTAAGTTGTTTATAGTTTAAGTTATGTATTTAAATTAAAATTTAATTTGACTGTCATCCTCAAGTAATATAAATAGGACACAGGCTACTTCGTCATCAAATTCGTTATGAATTGAACTATCCTAAATCATTAAAAACGGAAAATGACAAATTTTGCCCTGAAGTGATTAATTATTTATCTAATGCTAATCTATTTTGTATTGCATTTATTTTTTTATTATTTTGTTTACCTTAGTTTGATGAATTTTTTTTGAAACCATGTAGGCATGTGGAAATATCTCGTTTAACTGCAAGTGAAAAATTATAATAATTCAACTACCTTATAAATAGCAAAGACAACTCTTTATTTCGAATTATCAGTTGAATTCACTGTTGCTTAAATGCATCGTCTGAAAATAAATTTACCTTGTTTGATGGCTCTAACATTCTATTATATCGGAAATTATCGAAAATATCCATAGATTCTTCATCATCATCAATATCATTAGAACCGGGACACTCGAACATGTGTTCTGTATCACACATGCAATCTTGAGAAGCCTGGTATCTCCGACTGTACGTAGCAGTATTCTCAAAGTCCTCTATGCAACCGTGTTCAGCTGCAAAAGAAACAGATATTTATAAATACAGACATCTTTTCATTGAATAACGGTCACATATGGCTCTCCTTCAGAAAATATGAGCTGTGACTGATGAAGTTGATGCATTAACTAGAGAACTAATATGTAGACTGAACGGATATAATTTCATATCCATTACAGTAAGAAAATGAAATTCACACGTCACAGCTGGTATGTGTGATCGATTATTCTTTTTTAAACTTTTAAATATGAAGTGTAAAGATAAGGACAAATATATCTGTTTACAAAAAGTGTTCCTCAAAATGTATGAAATTAAGATAGTGTTACTGTATTGATGTTTCACCAGTGGATACTGTTATTTTATTTGCTATTTCGGAAAAAGAAAACTTGAATTACTTTTCGTAATACTTTTTTAAAAAAAATTATTTATATATATATATGCACGGCTATCATCACGAAGCCCATCACATCACGTAGACCAGTCGAAGCCCGGTTGTGCGGGAGGGGTCGGGACTTGGAAATAAAATAAAATTGTAATATTTTATTATTTCGGTGGTGTATATTTAACAAAATATATATCACACAGTTTATTAGAAGCCCGGCGGTGTTGCCTAAATTATAGCTTTTACAAGTTTTTGATTTTTCGACTATTGTGACAGACTATCAATTTGCAGAAGGATGTTACAATTTAGTTGAAATATTTTTCTACAAGTTTCGAGATTTCAGTGGCCATCAACCAATTTCTGACATTATTTATGTTAATTCTATACAGGGTATTTTCAAAGTTTTGGAATAGGTTAATAACTTTTTCAAATAAATACCTTTTTCAAATAAATAACTTAACTAGAAATAATTTGAAAATTCGAAAACAAATCTCAAAAATACCCCTACGAATTATTAAGTCCATCTCCAAACCCCAAAGGTAAAAACAAATACTTGGATATTTAGAAAAAGCCTTTCGTCGGTAGGACTCGAACCCAGACATCTTTGTTCTGTACACAAAGACAGCAGTATAATGTGTTAATTTGGCCAAGCGCCTTTTCAGGCTCGTTCTCAAATCTTTAAATACCTCTATACAACATCGGTGTGTATGAGAAATGCATTGGTGCATACTAAGCTCATATCTTCGTCTGCGTGAGTTAAGTTTTCAATGTACGTTAAGCGACGTAAACCTAAGTACGAAAATTGTGAATTGAATATATCGTAAATCGCAAATAGAAATCCGAAAGGTCAGAATTATCTGAAATTATTTGTAGAAATAATTTGAAAATTCGTACACAAATCTCAAAAATCCCCCTACGAATTTTTAAGGCCATCTCCGAACCACAAAGGTAAAAACAAATATTTGGAGATTTGAAAAAAAGCATGTAGTCGTGGGTTTCGAACCCATATATCTTGTTTCTGTGCACAAATGCCCTAACTCTATACCATCACGACATTTACTGTCGAGATTCCTAGACGGCAGTTTGATGTGCCAATTCGGGCCAAGCGCCGTTTCAGGCTTAACTTAACTTTTTAAAATAAATAACTTTTTCAAATTAATAAATAATTTTTCAAATTAATAAATTTTTTAAATTAATAAATTGTTCAAATAAATAACTTTTTGAAATAAATAACTTCTCAAATAAATTACTTTTTTAAATAAATTCCTTCTTTATATACATAACTTTTTTAAATACATAACTATTCAAGTAAATTTTATTTTCAAATAAATAACCTTTTCAAAAAAAAGTCAAAAATAAATATAAAAAAAAAAATTCCAATGATTTAGCTCGGTGGCCACGAAACAAAGAAAGTTGCGTATTAAAATATATAAATCTGGATATCATTAGTCGGAAAGTACGATAGTATTTAAACATTACTTTTCAGAATAAGTGTATCCGTTGAAATGGGCCAGTTGCATGGCTACCAGACCTAAATCCTTGTGATTTTTTTAAATAGTTTATTTTAATGAATACACATTTAAAAAAAAGTATTAACTTTGGAATCACCCTGTATACTATATTTGTGCTATTCCTCGAACAATCGATTGTATGTACCTATCAACCGGAGCCGTAAAAGTCATTCTCCATCTCATTCCTCTTGATATTTTAATCAAACAGGTTGCTTTGATGAGAATGACACGACTTCGCACGATTGGAATAGAACCTGATGTAGGATCTGGCGAGACGTCGCTTTTGACGAGAGGCACTCGATACGCTTTCATTTTTTCAAACGAACATGAACCACATCTCAGCGCGATATATCTTCCATAAGCCATATAAAGTTATAAGGGTAAAATTCATATTTACACCGACGATTCAAAAAGAAAAATAGGCTTAGGATGTGACAGTTCCCATCGTTAAACCTAAATATAAAATGTACTCTGAGCAATAATTTCAGTGCAGTTCAAATAGAGCTCACGGGATACTCATAGCATCAAAAGAAGTTAAAATAGATAGTATCAAATATAGAGATAGCAGACAAGAACTGCTCACGATGGACAGACCATTAATAATTTACTCAAGGTTAGTACTAGAATGTCACGTAGCTTAGGCCGAAGGATCATCTATCAAAATTGTGATCAATTTAAGATGGATCAGAGGTTACCACATCAAAACGTAACCGTTTTGCTGATTCACTAGGCAAGAAGGCAGACAACCAAATACTTTTTGGACCTGGCCCTTTAATTGGACTTATTCATCGGTAGAGGCAAACCTGTCTAAATAATATTTCCTTGTGAAATTCAAGAAAAGATAGAAAACAACAAGAAGCTGCAGAGTAATCAGGGTGCTTTAAAGTTATCCCAGCAACATAACAGCAAACAATTGCTTGACTATGACTAGACAGAATATGTGCCTGATCATGACAAGCACAGAAGCACATCCATAGCATGGGACTGTCAGAATCAGCACTCTGCAGTAGATACGAACAAGAAGATGAGAGAATCCTCTTCCCTTGCCCAAGGCTCTCAATTATCATAAGATTTGTGTTCAGCGAGCAATGGCTAACACCGGCCGATATAAACACTTCTCGGCGACGTTGTCAACTACATTAAATTTGTAGGCTCGCTGACAAACTAAGAGGGGCCTCTTAATTCAGGAGGATGCACAATAGGTCTAGTGAGGCCTAAGTGCTGTAGGACAACCCATCCTCCAATAATATAAATTTTTATAGAACCCTCATCAGATATATTTTTAATCGACTTCAAAAAAGGAGGAGGTTCTCAATTCGTCGGAATATTCTTTTAAATGTATGTTAAGCGATAAATCTTTAACACGCTGTTCAGTTTCAATGATTTTTTTGTTAGAAAGGGGGTACCTCAGGGGTGGTCCCGTATAAATTTGGTCAAGATGTGGTGATGGCATCTGCACGATTTTTTTTAAAATTACTTTTAATACTTTTTATTTAGATTTTTGGTGATCTTAATGAAATCAAGTAGTATACGCTTGCCTATAATATTTCAGGTACTTTTATGAATACCTCCTTCTCACAACTAAATAAATTTATCTAAAAATTTAAAATAATATAAATTTTTATCACTTAAGTGAAAAAATCGACGCACCGTAACACGCATATTTGATGACGCGCCCGCAGCGAATGTGTTAAACGTTAAAATAAACCTGAAATGGGTAAATAATTCATTATTCCCGAGACTACAGTGTTGCCGGATGTGATGGGCTTCGTAATGGTGGTTTGTTTAACATGATCTGTATATAATCGCGTTTGACTCTTGCGCCCTCTGCCGCTGAAACCACTGAACTACAGGCGTATATTTGGAGGTATTTTCCGACATTTTGAAGCCCACCCTTTTTTTCTTAAACGATACAGATGGGGTTACTTGCCTCTAAAACGAATTTATACACTGTGTTTTTAGGAAGCCCGAAATCGGGCTTCGTAAGTGACTAGTGGGCTTCATATATCATTTGAAATGTAACGTTTCGGGCTTAGTAATGTCTGATTGCATGTATATATATATATATATATATATATATATATATATATATATATATATATATATCAATATTGAAAAAACCTTAACTACCAGAACAAAAGCAAAATACAAATCAAATAACAGTCTGTAGATAATAACGGTATTTAAATGTAGATACATCAACACCTTCCCTCATTGAATAATTTATTATCTTCTATTATTTAGCCAATGTTCTTCATTAAATATTCGAGCCTGGGTTTTGAAAGAGGTTTTGTCATCATATTAGTTAATTGATGTTCTGAATCAACGTTCTCTATGGTTACCAATTCTTGAACAAAAAAATGTCTTGTTTGGATTGGTTTGGTTCTTCTATGATATTCCGGATGTTCAGCTAACTTAATAGTTGCTTCTTTATCAACTAGTAGATCCGAAATACACATTGCAGATCTACTATCTCGATATATAGACGTTTTAGCCAAATTAGTTCTCGGGCTCCTTCACTGACGGCTACTATTTCTGCCTCTGTTTTAGAAAGAGCTACAGCTGTCGTCTGCTTTTGGCTTAGCCAGGAAATAGCACCATTGGCATACTTGCAGACAACATCCGTAGTTAACTTTCCTATTTGATCATCTTCTCCATAGTCGGCATCACTGTACCCTTGCAGGTATCTCTTCTTACTATTCGGTGTGTACGTAATTCCAAGTTCCATTGTACCTTTAAGATATCTAAAAATCCTCTTCACTTGCATCCAGTCACTGTGAGTTGGTTTTTTTAGTGATCTTGATACAGTTCCACAGAACTGAAATTAGGAGAATGGATTTGACAGTTTACAAAAACGTTCCTACAAGGGGAATAAAATTAAAGTTTTTTTTGAGTTTGCGCAGTAGGTGCCAAACAAGGTAATAATTTGAAAAAATATATATAACAAAGTTTTCAAAAAAAATTAACGGCGGGTTGTACAATACGCGGTTAATCGTCCCAAAAATTGTTTTTAAATAAATAAAATTAACATTTATTTTCAAATCACTTTCACGAATGAAAATTGACATGTCTGACAGATACTCACTGCGCAAACTCAAATTTCAATTTTGAATCTCCTTGACATTAAATCCATTCTCCTGTTTCAGTTCTGTGTACAATTCCGATGGAATACGCTATATCTGGCGTGGGCCCATATTAAATACGTATCCCATATTCGGACTAGTTCCTCTAGGTTTATGAAGCAATAAATACCAAAAAAAAATGTTAATAAATTAATGAAGTATATTTTATTATTCTGGCGTGTATTCAAACAATTTATCTTACTTATTTTATTTAGGGTGGGAACCACCAATTTGGCGTCCCGCTAATTTCTTATTATTATTATTACTATTAGTTATTATGTGACATCACTATTGAGTGTCAGTTGGTTATTTGTGTTTCTTAGTTATTAAATATTGATTTACCTGTATAACCAATAGGGCATGGATTTGGAGGACTGCAATAAGCGGGTAGAGTAGATTCTGGTTGTGGTCTACTCTTTACACCTTCAGGTCTTAAGGGATGGTTCTCTCTCCCTTCGCTGTTTAAATACTGAAAACGGAATTAAAATTATAGAAGGAACAAATATTTAATTTCTAAATTTATTGTATTATATTACCTGCTTTCCCCATAGAGTACTGTGTCGCATATATTCCTGATCTCGAATGCTGGGATGAATATTGAATTCTCCCATGGAATCATAGTCTCCGGGGAACAGTTGTTCCTCTTCCAACCCGTTGGTTAATGATCGTCCGTCTAAAGGCATCCCATCTGTAAAGTCCAAATAAGACACCCCATCACCTTCAGAAATTCCTTTTCCATGGATACGGTTGACAAGTTCACGAAGAAAGATGCTGGATAGTATGTTATCCTAAAAATAGTTATAAAAGTAATACTTTTCCTCTTGAGATAACGCGCGGCTATTTGTCGAAAACGGTAACAAACTTTTCGCTCAAAATGCACGCAAGATTTTTTCTACGATCACATTATTATAAGAAATAGATATAAAAACTGAAAATTTGTCATAAGTAGTGTATAATGTGTTGCCTAATCTACGTTATTCATGAAATAAGGAGTCAAAGTTAATATTAACTTGGATAATAAAAGAAAAACATCAAACTAGGTACAAATAACTTTAAAATTATTTATTAAAAAGAAATATTATTATATTATACCTATCCAATTTAAATTAGACGAGCGACAAAGCTGTCAAGTTTTCCGATCGGCGATCGACAAAGCTGTCACTTAAGTCAGTTCGCGGAAAACATCAACTTTGCGGTTGAATTTTGAAGCACAAAAGCCTACTTTGGATAGTGATCGTTAAAAGATGTATATTTTAGTTTTAGTTTGTTCAATTTCTGCGCATGTTCGAAAATAAGTTGTGTATCACTCTATATCATCTATATACACTTCCTTTTTTTAATATAATTGATCATTAAAAATTAACAAATTCAATCTATTGCATTTCATTCTATCAGCGGAAGTTTGAAATCTTATTCCATTATAACTATATCTAGTAAAAAGTTTTCAAGTGGTTCCTTGGTCGAGCTCGTTTAGTGATTGAAAGCGTAAAACGATAATGGATGTGTCGAGAGTTCGATCCATGCTCAGGTCAATCGATCTTTAATTAAAAAAAAATAAATGGTGTATAGCGGTTTGTGAAAATAATAAACAAATTATTAATAATATAAAATAGTATGTGGTGAGTTGCGGTTCTGTAAAAAAAGTGGGGATGTGGTCTCAATGGAAATGTAATCCTGGACGTTTTTTGAATGTCCAGTATTCGACGTCCAAATATATTCCAGAATTGGACGTCCTCTGAATGGTGAAAATTGTGCCATTTTTATACTTTACTGGACGTCCATTGGATGTCGGAAGTCCAGAAAAAACTAATTTTTGGACGTCTAGGCATCCAAAATTATATATCGAATGGACGTCCAATGGACATATTTGTATTGTCTGGGTCATAGCCAGGCCAGGTATTTAACTCTAAATACATAAACCTTAAATGACATCTGGCTTATCTTTGCGAGAAAACACTTGTTTCTACAGAAATGAGTAATAAACTTGAAAGTCCTTTTAATATAATATAAATCCAGAAATTCTAAAAATATGTAAGTATTTTTTAAACCTAAAAGCTTTGAAAATATATTGTCACGTTATGCGAGATTTTTATAATTAATGTCACGTTTTACGTGCTCCATAATAATTTAGGGATCCGTTCCTTGTGGAAAAAACCCTGCGCATCCCCTCGACATTACTTTTATAACTTCTCCATAGTTTATTATTATGATACTAATGTTTAATAATTATTAAATAACCAACCTTGCACATTATTGAAATTTAAAACAAATGCTCGACATAATTAAACAAAGTTTTATGTACAGGATGTTATTTAAATAATTAATTAGAATTAGAAAAAATATGAATTTATACGAGTCGTGACAATATGCACATTGCAAATATTTAGTTAAACCTCTCAAACTTAATGTCTTTTTAATTGTTACCTAAATTTTTTTTGTTACCCTTAATTTTGTTTACCTTATTTTTACTTAAGGAAAAGGTAATTTAATGTAATTATGGGGCTTTTATTACATTTTTAACAATAAATAAACCAAATATTGCACAAATTATAAAATACTAAACGTCTTTTACTTTTATAACAAATAATTAATTATTACATAATGAATTATATTTTGGTGCCGAAATTTCACCATTGCTATTAACCCTAACTACTTCAATGTAATTAAATCACATTACAACATTTGCGCATGGACTATACCAATGATTTCAGATAATTTGTTAAACTATTTCGCTCAGTGTAGAAAATAAGCATGTTTTCTCAGCGTATTAAGTTGTGTATTAATCAAAGTTATGGTGTCAAAAAGGTCCATCCGATATCAAAGGCACCGACAGCTACTGTCGCTTCTCCTTAATCGGTATTCTCGGGTTTAGACTGTGGGGCTTAGATAAAAATAGAGATACAAGTTATATATGTGATAACTGTCACTTGAGAAGAAGGAGAATTGTACGCTTTGACATCCGTTAATTTTTCAGGAATCTAATTTAAAAACTTTTTATGTAAATCACGTTCTGTTGTTTTCTTCTTAGAATATTATTCAAAAGTTTGAGTTTTTTTTTATTTTCCTTCATTTAATCATTTAATTAGTTGAAATGAGTTCAAGTGGGTACTTTTCAACGGATTTATGTCTTAAACGTATTCTTTTTTATTTAATAGATACAAAAGAAATAAAAAAAGGTTCTTTTTATCTAACATAGATCTTTTTGAATAATAATTATATTATTTAATTATATAAACTTGTAAAAATAATCAAAAAACCACGCTTAAAACTCAAACACAAGAAAAAGACAACTAGCCTCTTAAGCATTATTTTCAGTAGCCATACATTTTATCGACAGTAGAATTAATTTAAAAAAAATTTACATTTTCGCGCATGATTAGATTACGGTTGCATATTGAAATACATATCATTGTGAGATACAAAGGATTTTTCATTTCCTACCTTTTCATTTAATGAACTTTTTTAATAAAACTTTTATTACAAGTGACATCTTAGGGCGTCTGTTTTATTGAGGTGGTTTACCCCTACAACTTTTTTATAAAGAGTTCGGGTAGCCTCAGATGAAGAAACGGAAATTCCAGGGGTCAGTTGATGTTCTGATTTTATGATGGTAACATGGCTATTTCCTAAAGAAATTAAGTAAAAATGCGAGACGACGGCTGCAACGGAATACCCACGACTTAACGGTCTAAAATCTCGATGCAAGATAATTTATTTCCGTTCCAATATCCAAGCGACAACTCTCAATTTCCACGCACGCATGATTCTTGTTGATAGGGACCGTAAGTCTTATGGTCGTGCCGTGTCGACCCCTTTATATGCTTCGATTCGACCACATAGTTGAAAGCTGGAACTATTTGATATATTTCCTTCTCCGCCAATCCCCTAATCCCAACACTTTGCTTTAGTAATTTCATGGCATACTTGTTGCAACTTAAAGGGGACTTTAGAAATATTGGGTGGGTCTGGGACTTATTTACTTTGACGAGGCATCATATAATTAAGATCGAACTTCAGTTCAGGTAAGTTCGTTTGATCTTATAATTATATTTCTGCCTCGTCTCGTAAATAAAGATATATTGTCGCTGTTTAAAGCATGTTGCAACAAAAAATTACGATAAAACATTTTATTAATATTTAACTGATTACAAATTAAAAAATTATATTGTCATAATTGACCCACTGTTTCTGACTATAATTTGTTCTTGGTTTCCCGGACTAATGGTCTAGTGTATTTTAATAACTATGTGGACCTGATTGTGACGACGCCGAAGACAGTGCATCTGTTGTTCTTTGTTTTTGTATCGCGGCGAGTTGTGAGATAATATATTCATTATTCTGATGTCACCTGATCCTAAATTGTTTTAAACTTTTAAAATGCAACATATTTACGGGGAATGTGGAACAAAAAACGAGACAAGCTTTCGTGGTAGACAAGAAAGCATCAAATGTAATAGAGCTATCATGTAACAAATTTTCAAGTAAAAATTATTGTTTAAAATAAAACTTATAAAATTACATACAGTCCATTATCATTAATCCAAAACATATTGGTCTTCGATCCACATGAGGAAAATAAATAAATAAACTTTAGTGATACAAGAAAAATAAAAAACTTTAGTGAATAAGTGTGGTCTCAGAAGGGTTCCAGCCTTGAGTGTATAGTGGCGTATGCCGTATTTGCAGGAATCCAGCCTTTTAAAGTGAGTCCATTCTTTATTTTTATTTTTTCCTGTCCAATTGTCGCTTTTTAGACAATAAGGTAAATACATACCTACTTAGGTAAATCATTTTAAACATCAACTTAAAATTTGCATTCCTTTGGCTTGCCTTCCAGAGGTCACTAAAATGTCGGAAGAAAAGGAGGAGTTAAAATTTAACTAATTTGTTAACCTTTTTTCAATTTTGTGAATAGTGAGGGTGGCATGATTCCTTAATTCCACACAAGCTAACTTGCTTCTGGAGATCAGATTTGATTTGTAAGGGCTTATCCCACACTCACTATTCCCAATACCAGTTTTTTGTCACTTTGTTTGTTTCTTGTAATTTTTAATTTGTTCAAACAATTGTATATATACTATTTTAACTTTTGACTTAAAAGTCTAATTCAGATTTTATAATATATTTTTTTTTAAAATCTTTTTAAATTGTAAGTTTACATTCACAATTTTTGTAGATGAGCACTGATGATGGCAAATAAGCCGAAAGCGCTTTGCATTGATTAATAAAAAAGTTTTGCACGAAATACAAGTTTTTCCTTTTTGAATCACTAGTAATTTACCATCAACAACAGTTGACACTTCTGAGCTTATTATTATTACGCGACGGTAATATTATGATACAACAAGGATCGGTATTGCAGAACACTGCCTTCGGTTGGGTAATATCGGGTAAAATCGACAGAGGTCTTAATACTAGTAAAATGGGTGTTTGCAATTTTACTTTGGAAAATATTGACTTACAAAATCAGTTACACCGTTTTTTTGAGTTGGAAGAGGTTTCTGAAAAGAACCCGTGGAGTAAAGAAGAAATTGCTTGCGAAGAACATTTTAAAAACACAACAGTACGTACTGCGGATGGTAGGTTCATGGTGAATATACCATTCAAGGAATCCGTTACAAATTTAGGAGATTCATATGAGACCGCTAAAAGACGTCTTATGTCGTTAGAAAACAAATTTGCAAAAAATCCGGATTTTCGTAAAAACTATATAAAAAATATGCAAGAAATGTGCGAATTGGGTCACATGACTAAAACTTTAAACAATCCAACAAATAGTCAAAATTCT